CATCTAATCTTCACTGACATCATCTAATCTTCACTGACATCATCTAATCTTCACTGACATCATCTAATCTTCACTGACATCATCTAATCTTCACTGACATCATCTAATCTTCACTGACATCATCTAATCTTCACTGACATCATCTAATCTTCACTGACATCATCTAAACTTCACTGACATCATCTAATCTCCAGCTGAGATCTGTTTTGGTGATAAAATGTGTTTTTGGTGAACCCACCGTACATCATCGATTTCCTAGAATGCATTTTGAAACCCACCTGCTCATGTATTAATTATTGATTATTGCAGCATTAATAAATGACTCAGTGACGTCAACAATAATAATTATTGGCATCATAAACCTGTCGTTTTGGTGAAACATGTCTTCATATAAGAGGAGAACACGTTGAAGCAGACTCCATTTAAAAGAATTACTCAAAACATCAGAAAATTAATCTGCAACTATTCTGTCGGTAGATTAATTGTTTCAGATGTTTTTTAAGACAAAATGATGAAATATAATCTGATTCCAGCTTCTCAAATAGGACGAAAATGAAACATTAGTCAGAAACAAGTAAACATTTGTATCAATCATTTTAAATATGAATTGAGAAAATCAGCTCCAGATGATAATCATCATTATTTGAAGCCTTCAATAGAAGAACATGTTTCTCTAATAGTTTTTAATTTTGAGACACAATATTATTTTGAGAGTAAAGTTAGTTTAAAGGTAGTTATTATCTATATATCTATACATCATAGATCAATGACCTGGACATATTGTTGAACTTGTTTATCTATATATTCTATATTGATCTTTTCCTCCGCATGTTTCTGCTCAGTTGAATAATAATAATAATGATAATAATATTTAATGTCGCTGCAGTGACAAACTCTCACCAGCAGGTGGAGCTGAACCTCCTGTTTCATTAGTAATCAACGTTTCTTCTCTAATAAATCTCACGTTGTTTCTCACCAACAACGATCTCTAATAAAAATAGAAATACTTATTGAATGGCAGATTTTTTTCACTTTAGTTTTTAGTAAAATAAGTCATGTGTTCAGGTGCAGAAGGAGTTTTTCGGTACTTACAGGTCATCAGATGCAGAGCGCTGCAGACGAGCAGGAAGAGAGGAGCAGAGAGAGGAGAGGAGGAGGAGGAGGAGTCCTGCAGCTGGGTCTCCTGAGGAGCTTCAGAGTCCACGTCTTTACACTTCAGACTGTACACACACACACACACACACACAGACACACAGACACAGACACACATCAGAATCTATTGTCTCAGATGTGCAGACTGGTTCTAGTCTCTTCTATTGAACTCTTCCCATCGTACGAGACTGACTGACGACGTTACAGCGACTCTTAAAGAAGCGCATCATTTAAACATCAGTGTGAGTCCCAGCTAGTGCTACAGGTGAACACACAGCTGAGGCGTGTCAGACTGAGCTCACGTGGCTCTAACTTAATGGATGCGTGACTTCAGTGAGACCAGAGAGGCGGATGTGGACTCACAGCTGTTTGTGCAGGTACTGCTGCCTGGACTCACAGGCCCTGGTCTGGCTCTCAGCAGCAGCTCTGAGGCTGGAGCAGGACTCGGTCAGGTGACCCGCCTCGGTCAGGTTCTGCTGCAGGGCCTCCATGTGCTCTGAGAGGAACACAACCAGCGGCACAGTGTCAACATTAAAACATCTTCCTATCTGACAACAAACACAACGTCATTTATTTATTGTAATTTCGTGTTTTTTAAATCTTTAAAATCCTTCAGATCTGAGTCCTGGTCTCTGTGGCCCCCTGTGGTCAGACTATGTAACTGCAGCTGGGTTTGAACTACAGTTCCCAGAATTCAGTTGGAACGCAATCAGATGAATTATGAATTAGTTTCCTCTTCAAACAAACATCTATATTAATATGAATATGTTCAATTCAACATTATGTGTTTTGATGTTTGATTTATTTGTAATTATATTCACGTTATGAACTAAAGGACAGATGATGTTTTTATTAATAACATGTTATAGAAATATTTAGACTTTGCTCTGGTTTCCTGACTCCACTTCAAGCTTTTACTCTGATAGGACATGCATCACTTCCTGCCCATGAGATGTGACTGAAAGCCTCTGCAGCATCCTGAGTGAGCGGCCTGATGGAGAACATCACCTCATCAGCACCGACGTCACTGAGACCAGCCGCCAGCTCTCATCTTCCTCTACTTCAGCTTGTTTTGTGATTCTGGATCTGATCCAGAACCAAGACCTGATCCAGAATCAGGTTCTGGACCTGATCCTGGATCAGATCCAGAACCTGGTCCTGGATCTGATCTCTAGGATCTGACACAGTGAGAAGTGAAATAACATTTTGTTCGTGTTTTCTGTCTTCTATAAATCTCGTTTATTTCTTTTAGACAGTTTATCAGCAGTGAAATATAACGAAGTACATTTATACAAGTACTGAGCTTTAAGTACACCTTAGAGGTACAGTACAGTACTGGAGGTACTTCTCCTCTACTACATCTCATCATTTTATTCAGTAAAACATTAAAACAATACAAATACTACTAACAGAATATACAAGTTGTTACAATGAATATATATAAATCAGGAATAAAACTCCATTAATACATTTAAATGGAGACATTCTGCATAAGGAGTACTATATATATATATATATATTAATGTTAATATTTGTGTATAATGTGAAGCAGCTACAACTTACTTTCATTGAGTAAAATAACAAATACACTTTGTATTTGTACTCTGTGGTACTAGTACACAGTACAGGCTGTGAGTACCTGAAGTAAAGGAGCTGAATATATGAATGTGTATTTATATATAATATATATCAATGTGTGACTCTCTTGTTCCACACTGAGTGACGTTGATCACAAACACAATGCTTCTCTCATATCTGCTTCTTACAGGATTCCATCGTTTCCCTCCGTCTATTCACAGCAGGAAGTCTCATTAACCTCTTTCCTCACTTCCCATCATGCACCTGTTCCTGCTCTGTTGTTCTTTGCTGTGACTTCATCACCAATCGTATCAGAGTTCAAACATGAAGCTGAAAACCTTAAATAAAGATTAGATAAAGAAAATATGTTTACTGATATACTTTATTCATTCATTCTTTCCGTGTAGATTTGATTTCCTTCATTATTGAATGTTACTGTACTGCAGTGTGTTTCCTGTTTACAGATGTGTGGCTTCTGTCTGATAATTAAAGGACTCTTTCTCTCTCAGAGTTGTTTTTCCTTTGCTGTTTTTAAACTGACCAATGGGGTGTGTTTATTTACTGTGACTCACAGGTCGCCATGCTGACGGAGGTTTTCCTACCTTCCTGCAGAGCGATCTGAGCCGTGAGGTTGACCTCCGTCTGACGGAGCTGCTGCACGCTCTCCAGCAGCACGGTGATGTTCCCGTTCAGGACCGCCTGCAGCACCACAGAAGGAGAAGATCACGTTTCATCACAGACAACATCTCTGTGTTTTAATGCAGCTTCTAGTCTGTAACATGACAACATGTGAGCTCTGTCATTGGTTTATAAATGTTACCTCGAAACAAAGTCGAAAAAAAGTCGGAAACAAAGCCGAAACAACACCGAAACAACGTTGGAACAAAGTCGGAACAAAGTCGAAACAACGTCGGAACAACGTCGAAACAACGTCGGAACAAAGTCGGAACAAAGTCGAAACAACGTCGGAACAACGTCGGAACAAAGTCGGAACAAAGTCGAAACAGTCGAAACAACGTCGGAACAAAGTCGAAACAACGTCGAAACAACGTCGGAACAACGTCGGAACAACGTCGGAACAACGTCGGAAAAAAGTCGAAACAACGTCGGAACAACGTCGGAACAAAGTCGGAACAAAGTCGAAACAACGTCGAAACAACGTCGAAACAAAGTCGAAACAACGTCGGAACAACGTCGGAACAACGTCGGAACAACGTCGGAACAAAGTCGAAACAACGTCGGAACAAAGTCGGAACAAAGTCGGAACAAAGTCGAAACAACGTCGAAACAACGTCGAAACAATAAAAAAAAGTTCATATTACCAACATATGTTCCCACTGATCATATGTTCCCACTGATCGTCTACTCCTCATATCTAAAAGTGACTTCAGTAACAGAAATGTGTGACCGGCTTCATGAGATTATTTTGCACCTGGACTCAAAGAACAGAGTTGAGATTAAAGTCATGTGTGTGTGAGTCTAACTTTAGATCTGGGTCACGGTCTCAGTCTCAGGGTTTAGTCCCATCATCACCAAGTCTGCTTTAAAGCATTTTTATGTACTATTATTTCTTTAAATTCTCATCATCATGTAGTACTGCAGCTTTCCTTTGGTGCATTCAAGATGTCACAACATCTAATAACTGAGAGGCTGCTCTTAAAACTAAACATCTTTAACAACAAACAACCAGATTCAAGATCCCTCAACTCTGCCGAGATTTGTCAGACCAGACCAAAACCAAACAGACCAGTCCAGTCCAGTACAGTCCGGACCAGACTGTGCCAGGCTGCTGTCTACCCTCAGGGTTCAGGTGGGGATTGAAAGCAGGACGTCTGCGTCCGCTGACTCGATGCTGAGAACGGATTTTATAAACATTCCTTTTGTTGAACGCAGAAGTTAAAGTTAGACCAGCTCTTTAAACAAAGTCCAGCTCTTAAAGGAACAGTACAAACAAATGTCTTCACCCTGAGAGAATTTTAATCCCATGAACATTGTTACACTGAGTACTCATACTGTGTACTCACACTGTGTACTAACACTGCATACTAACACTGCGTACTAACACTGCATACTCATACTGCGTACTCACACTGCGTACTAACTGCATACTTACATTGCCTACTAACACTGCATACTCATACTGCGCACTCACACTGCATACTCACACTGTATACTCACACTGCATACTCACGGTCAGGCTCCTACTTATGTAGCTGATCTACTTCACCCATATTCATCCGCCCGCACTCTCAGGTCAAACGCTCTAGGTCTTCTGTCAGTCCCACGCACACGATTTAAGACCTGTGGTGACAGAGCCTTTGAGGCAGTGGCGCCGAGGCTCTGGAATGCTCTGCCTGCAACTCTAAGCCTCGCAGATACTGTGAATACTTTTAAAAACAGCTCAAAACCCACCTTTTTAGGCTGCCGTTTGAGTAAAAACCCTTGTCCTAGACCTGCTCTTAAAATGTTTTAATTTTTATTATTTGATTTTTTGTTTTTTATTTGATTTTTCTCTGTGTATGTAATTTATTGACCCTAGGGTCACATTGTGTTTTTTATGCTTTTAAATTTCTTTAAAGCGCTCTATAAATAAATTTCATTCATTCATTCATTCATACTCACACTGCGTACTAACACTGCATACTCACACTGCACAATCACACTGCACACTCATACTGTGTACTAACACTGCATACTAATACTGCATACTCATACTGCATACTAATACTGCATACTCATACTGTGTACTAACACTGCATACTTACAGTGCATACTCACAGTGCATACTCACACTGCATACTCATACGGCGCACTCACACTGCATACTAATACTGCATACTCATACTGCACACTCACACTGCATACTCACACTGCATACTCATACTGCACACTCACACTGCATACTAATAATGCATACTTACACTGCATACTCACACTGCGTACTCACACTGCATACTCACACTGCACAACCACACTACGCACTCACACTGCGTACTAACACTGCATACTCATACTGTGGACTCACACTGCATACTCACACTGCGCACTCACACTGCGTACTAACACTGCGTACTAACACTGCATACTCATACTGTGGACTCACACTGCACACTCACACTGCACACTCACACTGCATACTAACACTGCATACTAATACTGCATACTCACTGCGTACTCACACTGCGTACTCATACTGCGCACTTACACTGCATACTCATATTGCGTACTTACAGTGTGTATTCACACTGCGTACCATTGCGTACTTACAGTGTTTACTCACACTGCGTACCATTACGTAGTTACACTATGTACTAACGCTACATACTCACAGTGTGCTAATAATGCTAATGTACAACATCATCATCATCAAACTTCTGTCTGTTTGATTTTATAAAATAAATGTGTCTGTTTTGTCTCTGTGAACCTTTACAAACGTCTTAAAGGAACTGACTCAAGGACTCATGATACATCCTGAACAACCTCCAGGACCTCCTGAAGAATCAAGAACCAATGTCATCAAGGACATCTAGAACTTTCTCAAGAACCAAGGTGTCCTTTGGAAATCCTCAAAGGCTCTAGAGCTTCACTAGAAACCTTTGACCTCAGAAACATCCTCAAGGAACCGCTACAACCATATAAAGGCTGCCACCTCTCTCCTCACAGGTTTCTATGGATCCTGGTTTTATCTGGACCCTGGTCCTGCTGACAGCCACTGCTACTATCATTGTTATTATTAGTCACATTACTGTTAATATTACCGATACATTACTTCTTTTATTAACATTGTTATTCTGCTATTATTATTAGTAGTCGTAATGTTACCATCATTATTCTACTTACTACTCTCATGATATGAATCATTTATGTCATATGTATTGAATGTGTTGTAACTCTGTGATGTTGTTCATTCTGTACACATGACATCTAAAAAGGTTTTTGGGGAGTTTTTCCTTCACTGATGTGAGGGTCAAAGGACAGATTGAGGCTTTACAAAACAAACTGAATTGAAATACTAAAGATTATCTGTGCTGGTGTCACTTCCTTCATGTCAATATTTCACCACACGTCTTTTTAAATGATTTATTATATTTTAATGAATTGAACTTGAACTAATTTTCCACTGTGAACTTTCTACACTCTGAAAACAGACTTTTGTTTCACTCTGAAGTCTTTTGGGGATTTTTCTCACTGCTGATTTGAGTCCAAACAAACAGGAAGTGATGCAACAGGAAGCAGCGGTGAGCTGAACGTGTTACTGCGTCGGTGTTTGCATCCACAGACTAAGTGTGAAATAGTCTCCGACCTCTCACACCGCTGTTTTTACTGTTTACTTCGTTTACTAAAACTACGACTAGAGATGTTCGTCAACAACCTTACTCTCCGTGATCGAGATGAGAAGACGTCATCGAACTGGGACGATCAACACACACATGTGCAAACATCTGGTGATGAGGTTTTAGACCCGTCATTATTATATATATTATATTATATATATATATATATTTATTAACTGAGCAATAGATCAATCGTATAGCGGTCATCTGCACTTTAACACATAATGTACGTTTTTAGGTTAGTAAGGAGGGAAGGAAGGAAAGGAAGGGAGGAAGGAAGGAAAGGAAGGGAGGAAAGGTAAGTAGGCCGTCCTTATGAGGGAAAATATTCACCACCATTCAAAGGAGAAACATGTGACCTCCAATGACAGACGCACTAACAAACATTCAAATAATCAAAGTTAACAAGTTAGAAGACTAAACAACATGAGAACAAACTGATAGAAGATCAATAGAGATCAATAGAGATCAATATAGATCAAGAGAGATCAAGAGAGATCAATAGAGATCAAGAGAGATCAATAGAGATCAATAGAGATCAAGAGAGATCAATAGAGATCAATAGAGATCAAGAGAGATCAATACCAGCTGACCAACGTGGAAGAAGTGAATCCACTCCCTCTAAATATCACAGGACACCTGCAAATATCACAAGTGTTTCACAGTTTCACAGCTGAAGAGCAGCTCCGCTGTCATTAAGAGGTTAGAAATACTCATGTCTGAGGTCACGTGATCAGCAGCTGGATGTTCAGGTGGATTCAATCAGTGAGCATTGTTGAAGCATCAGGTGGAAGCAGTTACAGAGTTCACGTATGAGGCTTTTATTTTGTAGGAATGCAGCAGTACAGAAAACACAAGCTCACCAGAGTTATCACCTGAATCTGTCTAACAGCTTGAAGCTGAAGACAGGAAGCTGAAGACAGGATGCTGTCAGGAGCCACAAAGAAGTGAGTCAACTTCCTGCTGATTTGAAGATGATAAACTCACAAACTGCATGAATTCAACTTCTATTATTAAAGTCATGTCTGTAGTACCGGGTACTCTGAACTCTACCTGTTCAGGTACTCTGTTCTCTACCTGTTCAGGTACTCTGTTCTCTACCTGCTCAGGTACTCTGTTCACTACCTGCTCAGGTACTCTGTTCACTACCTGTTCAGGTACTCTGTTCTCTACCTGCTCAGGTACTCTGTTCTCTACCTG